GTTTAGGGTAGGAATTTATTTCTGAAAAGCAGGAATTATGGGATAAATTGGGGAGTCTCTCATAGCAACAGATATTTCACCCATCATAAGACTTCAGAATTTACAAGGGTGTTGACTGCATCAGTTGGGGGGGGGAAAGAACAATAATATTTGCCACAAACAGACTTACTTATGGCAAATCAAACAAGACGAACATTCAGCTTAAAAAATCTTTATTTAGGAACTTCTGGGAGGTCAGTAGAACATTGAGAAGGTTCAAAGATTAATCACTGCTCTGGAAAAAGGGCATAAATCTGGCATTTTAAAAGATAAAAAAAAAAACTAAAACATATGGTGTGATTAATAACTTCCTGAGCAGTGAGGAGGAGAATGTTGGGAATAAAGATGTTGGCTATTATCCTCTTAAATTCAAAGAAGCAAAGCTTTTCTGTAAGTAAACTGTTTTATTAATTTAGTGCACAGGACCAAACATGAAGGTGCATATTTTCAGTGTGATAAAAAAGGGCCTCAGTTAACTTCCACACTTTTTTCATGCTTTTTAATTTTTTAAATAAGCACACTGATTTTTCATACATAGGCAATATTCTGATACAAAAGCATTTTGTGAAGTTAGACTACAATTTTTACAGAAAATCATATTCATTTTTATTCTCAATTTTTATCTTTCATGTGTTTTTTTCTCATTTAAAAAAAAATGCTCTTACACCCTTTTAACACACTGATGACAGAAACTTCAAAATTTGTGCTTTTCCTCATCTTTTTCTCTACATAGGTTGTTTTTTTTTTATTGTGCACACATGGAATTTCTCAGACCAGAAACAGGATATGTTGCTGAGCTTGCTATAATCCTAGTGGAACAAAAAATTTTTGACAGAATTGCCTGTCCTGGCTGTCATCCCAACTCAAGCTAACAGCAACTGAGGAACCTGCCATTCCTGCACTCAGGCATAAAAAATAAAGGGATCATCTGCCGAACCACACTATTTGCCCATAGCTGGGTCACTAACAGGTGCCACCACCCTAGGTCAGGGTAGACATGGGAACAACAGCAATTGGTTCCGTGCTAATTGAATCCTCCAATCTTCTGATCAGAGGTCTTGCTGCCAGATGTAGTTTATTGTCATACCCAGTTGTTTTTAGTTATGTTATTTACTGAATACTAAGATGCAAGATTTTAGAAGACAACTGTTAACTGTAAATCATCCAGATTTCAAAAATGGAGTATTGCTGCCTTATCTGGGATGGAATTGCACAATCTATATTTTCCAGCCTTGATAGAGTTCTTCTACCATGCTTTCATTTACAAAAATTCAATTATATTTAAACAAATGGAGTAAATAAAAATATCTGAGCTACAGATATTTTTTCCTTTTTCCAAGCTTGATGGAGTTCAAAAGCATCTACAATGCACTTCAGCCATTTAACATCACACTGATGATATTGGCTTCAAAATTCACGTTTTTAGTTATGTTATTTACTGCCTACTAAGATCCAATAATTTAGAAGACAATGACAAACTAACTCATCCAGATTCCAGAAATGGATGATTGCTACCATATCTAGGCTGGAGATGCATAGTCCACACTTTCCAGCTTTTATGGATAGCAAAAGCATCTACATGGCCTTTTCTGATACTGAATTATTTTAAGCCCTGCAACATTTTTCCAGAGATGAAACATCATATGCCACTTGCTACTCTACTGCTAGTTCCATGGAAAATGTTCTATATTTCAGTTCAAACCTTTACAGCTAGAACCTACCATACCATATACAGGGTGCAATGGGTAAATTTGTTGCAATTTTATATTTTTAATTTTGCACATTGTCTATTTTTGATTTTGTTGACTTCACAGTATAGTAGGGTCAGTTGGGCACCATCTGTGAGAAAAAGAGCACCATGACACAATTCACTCTGCCAGAAATTTGGAAACAGCATGCTGTACTGGCATTCATGCCAGAAGCTCCAATACAAACATTCACAGTGTTTGGGTGCCAATCTGAGGACAGTGCAGAGAATTCAGAAAGAGTTGGATGAGTCTAATGGTGATTACGAAGGTACAGCAGCTCAGAAAACTCACTTTTATTGTTCGGATAAGAAAAGAAGTCCCGACTTCATTGGTGAGTCAACACAGAGGCCTACATCAAGCGCATTGAGGAGGTAGTGCTGCCCTGGGTCAAGAGGGTGGCTGCTGGATGACCCTAAGTCTGGCAACAGGACTCTGCATCATGCCACACAAGCAGGAGAACCCAATCATGTCTGTCAGACAATTTCTGCAACCACACCACCCCTTACATCTGGCCACCTAACTCCCTAGACTGCAACCCCCTTGATTATTATGTGTGAGGTGCAGTTGAGCAAGAGACCAACAAAATTCCTTGTAACACCAAAGATGAACTGAAGGCAGGGATTTTGGCAGCATTCCCAAACGTAAACAAGGAGATCATTCAGAAGAGTTGCAGGAGATTCTGAAGTTGTCTGGAGGCCATGTTTGAAGCCAATGGTGATTTTATTGAATAAATTTACTCTTTAGTATTTCAAGATATTTTGTGGTAATTTTGGTAAATATATTCTGTCAAAAATGAGATATGTCTAGTGTTGGGAATTTGAATCCTTTTTCCTCCCAATTTAGACGAAAATTTATCCAAATCAGGTTTGATGGCAACTGGTCTACTGCAGAAACAAATGGCAACCTACTGTGGGAAAAATCTGCCTTGTCGTGTATCACGCATGGCACATAACTGACTGAGTATTTCAAGATATTTTTGTTATCTTGGTAAATATATCTGTCAAAAGTCAGAGTCAGAGTTATATTCAGTTCTTCATAATTTGGTTGACAATTTATCTGTCTCACCTGGTAACACAGGGTTGAATCACCCTCATTCTTATCATGTTCCGACATTTAAGATAGAATTTTCATTCAGGCAGCTGCTTCCCAAGGGCCATTAATTTGTGGAACTGACTTCCGAATGCTTCACCAATCACT